CAGCCACCGCCTCCATGGCCGTGCGCATTCTGAACGCCATGTCATCACACGATGCCCGCTGTTGAATGCCAGCAGTCCTGCAGAGAGCAACGTTGGCCGGCAACGACGATGGTGAGCGGTGATTGAAATCAAGCACCAGCACAGAGAAGTACATGAATGTGCACACAAGAGCCATGCGAGCGCACTGAAGGACACAAGCACACACACACATACACACACATACACACACATACACACATACACACACACACAACACACACGTAAGCACAAGCACACACACGCACACACGCACACAACACATAAATGTCCCCCCCCCCCTTCTCCACGACAAACCTACAACCCTCCCCTCACCAGGCCTTGCGGAGCTGGGGCAGGGAGAGAATGAGCTCGCTGGCGTGTGCAAACACGTGCATGACGGCAGCCGCCTGCATGGCATCATCATCGACAACGATGGAGGATGGGGTCACGCCGTGACGTGCAAGCGCCGTCTGAAGCAGGTGACGGGTGGCTGCTTCGCGCGATGCGCTGGTGAGGCAGTGGCCGATGGGAACGCCACAGCCGTGGTGGTCCTTGGTTGCAATGGTGATGAGGAGGTGGTGGTGCTGGGTGGTGTCATGTGTGCAGGCAACAGCAGCAAACCGCCTGCCGTGTGTCTGCGCCATTTCCACCTGCCACGGCGACTGCATCACAGCCACAAACTCCGACTTGCCAAACGGCGGTGCAAACCGTGAGAGGGACAGCAATGATGGGGAGGACGACGGCGAGCGTGATGAGGTTGTCCGTGCTGGCGTCGGCGAATCCGTGTGAGCGCTGGTGCGTTTGCGGCTGCGCTGACCAAGCCCACCACCGTCTTCATCACCATCAGCATCAGCAGTAACAGCATCAGCATCAGCATCATCATCATCGGTGCTGGCGTTGTGATCCCTTGGCGTTGCAGTTGTGACACCACGCGCGCTGATTGCACTGTGGTGTGATAACACGCCCTCTCGACTGCTGCTGCTGCTGCTGCTGTTTTTGTTGTTCTTGTTGTTGCCGTTGTTGTTGCCGTTGTTGTTGTTGTTGTGCACTGCGGTGGTGATGGTAAATGTCTCGTTGCCTGCAAGCTTCAACGATACGATTGCGCAGCCATCACTGCCCGCATTCAAAGCGCGAGCGAAGGAAGCCACGCCCATCACCTCCTCACCCTGAACTTGTTGGCCTGCTTGATGTTGCTGTTGGTGGTGGTCGTCGTCATCGTCGTCATCGTGCCATGATGCGTGAGCAGATTGCTGTTGGGCGGTCCCGGGTGCGTGCCCTGAACGTGAGCCAGCGCTCCCACCACGATGATGATCGTTCGCTTGCTCGTGGCGGTCGTGGCTGGAGGCTACACGGGTGAAGTTGTGTACGCTTCGAAGGGTGATGTGGTGTGCTGGGTGAGTTGGCGGGTACATGGTGCGACACAACATGACCACAGCTGATGCCGGCACGCCGCACTGCAGCCACGACCGCACGTGCTCGCGGACCGTCTCGGGGATGCGCACATCGTGCACGTTGCAGGGGTGCGTGTGGTAGTTGAACACCTCCACGCGCACGCGTTGTTGTTGTTGTTGTTGTTGTTGTTGTTGTTGTTGTTGTTGTTGTTGTTGTTGTTGTTGTTGTTGTTGTTGTTGTTGTTGTTGTTGTTGTTGTTGTTGCTGTTGTTGCTGTTGTTGCATGTGTGCGTGATCAATCTCTCCATTCGTTGCAGTTGTGGTGTCGCGTGCAGACGTGGCTTCAACCGCCAGCCACATGCGAGCAGGGCAGTACCCCACGTGCTTTGATTCCCTCGCCCGCTGCCGCCGCACTTGCCGCTCAGCCGTTCGCGCTGGCCCGTGACACGCGCACGTGTATGTCACGCGCTCGCCCACGGCCACGTCGCCCACATCGTCGCCTTTTGATGCACGGCACAGATGACAAAGAGTACGAGGCAATGAGCCTTGTGCAGGGGAGGGGGGCACAATAGGACAAGATACAACGAGTACGCTCCGCAGTTTGTGACACACTTCACGGCCGTTCCCAGCACACATGCACAAGGCACGCATCATGTGTGCAGGCGAACATACACTTTTCTTTCTTACCCCAGTGCTCGGCGCTTGCAGGCGTGCTGGTTCGGCGCGCAGTGAATTGAGAGTGCGTCTTCAGCGTCATGGTTGTGAACCACGCCTCAAACGCGGCCATGGATGGGAATATGTGCACAGAGTGCACTACAGCAACGACAATACACGCGATGGCGAAACAAGTGCGAATTAGTGAGCTTGTCAACATCAGGTGTGTATTGTCTTCCCCACAACCACGATGACGTGAATCAACCAACACCAGCGTGAATCAACACACGCAGCACAAGGCAACATCTGACTCACTGTCTGGTGTGAGGATTTGGGGATGCCGTGCTTTGAGGTGGGCGATGAGTTTTCGGGCAGTTGGATATGTGCAGCCACACGCCATTGGGCAGTTGAATGTCGAGCGGCCCTTGAAACAGGAGGTTGTAGAGCACATCGACAAAGCCAAAAAAAAAGGGGGGGGGGGGAACATGAGTTTGCAGACACACCATTGACAACGATGGGCAAGCATGGGCACGCGCGCAGGAATGACACGCCACACCACTGCACAAGGCACAAGGTGAGTGCATTTAAGTTATCCACGCACGCATACGAGCTTATACACAACTGCACACACAACTGCACACACACAACTACGCACAAATTCATCCAAATACCACCCTGGATCGACACAGGCTGGCTGCGGTGTGCATTCAGCGGGGATGCAAGTTAGTTAACTGCTCACTCACTTTGGCCCACCTGATATTCTGCTGGGTGTGTTCGTCGCATGTGGTTGTTGCATTTGGCGTGCGTGTCGAACACTTTGTCGCAGAACTGGCACTTCTCAGGCAGCTGTGGCAGTGCGCGTGCAAGCTCAACAGCAGCTGGGATGAGCGTGTGTTTGTCCTCCGCGTGTTTCAGCCGGATGTGCCGCCGAAGTGCAGGCAAGCTGCCATACCGCTTCCCACAAGCAGTGTGTGGGCATGCCAGCACACCGCTTCCTCCATTCATTGAGAGGTTTGAGAGAAGCGGGGGAAAAGGTTAGGGAGTGAGCGCAAAGACAAAGAAGTTTGCCTGGTGTGAGAGGAAGGGGAAGAGGAGGGAAGGCTGCGAGTTTGAAGGGGAGCGGCGAAGCGAGCAGCGTCCGCCAAGAACACCTGGTAGCGACACCATAAAGTGCAACGTAGGAGTGGAAGGACCTTCAAGGCCGACGCATTTCGTCATTTCAAGAAGCAATCAATTTGGCGAAGCAAGCAATCAAGCAAGCAACCAAGAAGCACAGTGTTGCTGCAGTCGGTGCGGACGGAGGTTTGTGGTGGTGTTGCGTCGTGGTGTTGCATGTGATGATGGTGATTGGGCTTGCTTGGGCCTTCTTCTTCGTGTTGGGCTTGGTTCGCTTGCTTGGCTTGCACCGCGTCTTACTTCGCGTGGATGGGTTGGTGATTGCTGCTGGTTGCTGGTTGCTTGATGTTGATGTCCTTCCTTCATGCCTATCTTCTTCCATTTTTTCCAACCCAAACCTCTGCCATCAAACAAATCACACACGCACTCATCTCTGCCATCACCCCACCACATATCATATCTCACACCACCCCATATCAGCTCATCATCCAAGGTCCAGCCAAGGTCAAGACCAAAAGGTCTCTCTGAGTTTGCACCCTTTGAACCCCCACCCCTGTTGAAAGACAGCCATGTCTTTGATTCGCCGACAGCTGAACAAGCTGCAGGAGGATGGCTCGCTCAAGAACGTGCTGCTGGAGCTCAAACACTCTGCAAAATCTCTCAATGCTCTCATCAACTCAGATACCCGTCTTCTCTCGTGAGTGGCAAGCTGGTGTGTGTGTGCATGTGTGTGTGCTTGTGTGTTTGTGTGTGTGTGTGTGTGTGTGTGTGTGTGTGCTTGTGTGTTTGTGTGTTTGTGTGTGTGTGTGTGTGTGTGTGTGTGTGTGTGTGTGTGTGTGTGTGTGTGTGTGTGTGTGGGTATGAGATAAGGGGGAGGGGTTTAACGTGGAACAGTGGAAATGTTGACGATCCCGCACACACTCACAATCACTAACACTCACAACCACACACACACATGCACAACCACACTCACAATCACACACATATCACACGTTTACAACGCACATGGACACGCGTTCGTCTGGGATTGATTGGACTTGCTTTGTTCTCGACCATCGTGTCATCAGGGGCTTGGAGTATTGGGCAAAGCGCCAGTCCCCACCCATCAGCGAATTTGTCAAGAAGATGAAGGCATCGGAATCAGAGCTCGTGTCAAGCTTCCAGCAGTACCTCCAAGGTGTGTCCATGTGTGTGTGTGTGAATGTGTGAATGTGTGTGCGTGGTGTGAATGTGTGTGTGTGTGTGTGAATGTGTGTGTGTGTGTGAATGTATGCGTGTGTGTGTGAATGTGTGCGTGTGTTTGTGAATGTGTGTGTACAAAGTGTTAGAACTGCCCGCAAAGTGTGAGTTGAGTCTTCGCTCTCTATCTTCCTTCCACTTGCATTCGCCTCATTGTCCTCGTGTGCACAGGGTATGAAGAGTATTGCAAGCAGTGGCAAGATATCCTTGAGGAACGCAGGGAGCTCAGATGTGAGTGCCACTTGCGCGTGCGTTCTGTTGTGCTGCACCTGGGTGGTACACGCACGTTTGTGACTGACAGGCTCTCAAATCGCAACACACGAAAACTTGCCTCCTCTTCCTCAGCTCCTCACGCCACACCTGACCAACATGAAAACACACACACATACCTCCACGCACACATCGTCACACACACACACACACACACACACACACACACACACACACACACACACACACACACACACACACACACACACACACACACACACACACACACACACACACACACACACACACACACGCACACAGCGGTGGTTCACTCGCACCACAAGGCGGAGAAGGCGGTGCGATCTGCAGAGC